AACATACCAGCAAGCCTGAATGGACATATGGCATTTTACTGCTTAAATATGATCAGCAGTCTTCCTTTTGGATATAAGTATTAGAATCATGTGCGCCAATTAATTATTGCTGCATACGATAACAGTGTGCGTCGCAGCTTTGCAGCTTTATGCATGTATTGTCATTGATTGAGCTGTTTGTCATGATTCTCATTTTGCAATTCATAGTTAGTACTTTGATGTGTTTCTTATTTAAAATTGCCGAAAGGTTTTGTAACAAAGGACATCTGGTAAGGGGAGTTACTCAACTGCTGTTTTGTGCTTTTAATGTTGATTTAAAGTGCTCTAATTTTACGTAACCCTTCTCCTGCACTGCCACCTTGCTTCTAGTTCTCTAGAGGACCATTTAAGCAGGCCATTGCTCCATGGTATTTGAGCATCTTCAGGGGAGATGATTTAATTGATAAATCAGCAGGCATTTATCGGTTACAGCATTTAGTGACTTATATTACGAGGCTTTGAGTCCCGAATCGTTCTTAACGTAGGATTCTTGACATAGTGCCATTAAAGGAATTAATTATCTGAAAAATCAATTAATGCACTTTACTGCTTAAATTAGCGAATATTGCACGTGAAACCAGCCACAGGTGACATTTTAGTAATCTCTGACCCGTTGGTATGAAAATATGTGTATAATGCGCAGATAAACAAAAACAAACATGGTACGCAATAAAGAGACAAAAGCTAATGATGAAAAGGAGGGGGGGGGTTGAATGTCTAAATATATGGGTTAACATAAAAGGGTCAGTTCCGGCTGATTCCGTCTTTTCACTTCCTCACTTTGCAGAGTCCTAGCCGTCTGCATCTTCTGGTGCATCAGTTCTCGCCTAGATACCTAAATGCATGGCATTGAAGTGCATTTTGAAACAGACTGGCACTGGGAATCAGTTAGAACAGATTTACCAAGTTTTACAGTATATCGTACATCTGATCTGGTACTGTATTTACGACATTCATATTGGACAACTGAAATGCTCTACCAACAAATTTCAGA